ACGCAGAATAGTATACAACATTGAAGAAAGGAATTAAGGAAGACACAAATAAATGGAAGCATATACCGTGCTCAAGGACTGGAAGAATGAATATCATCACAATGTTCATACTACCCAAAGCAATTTATAGATTCAATGCAATCCCTATTAAGATACCAATGTCATATTTCACAGAAATAGAACAGACATTTCAAAAATTTATATGGAACCATAAACGTCCCCGAATAGCCGCAGCAATTTTGAGAAAGAAACACAAAGTAGGAGGGATCACAATACCAGACATCAAACTCTCCTACAAAGCCACTATACTCAAAACAATCTGGTATTGACACAAGAACAGATCCATAGACCAGTGGAACAGAATAGAAAGCACAGACATAAGCCCAGGTCTTCATGGACATCTAATATTTGACCAAGGGGACAGAAGCATAAAATGTAGCCATAATAGCCTCTTCAACAAATGGTGTTGGGAGAGGTGGACAGCTACATGCAAAAAATTGAAATTGGATCATCAGCTGACACCATACACAAAAATAAATTCAAGATGGATAAAAGACTTAAGCATAAGTAGCAACACCATAAAAGTCCTAGAGGAGAACATTGGCAGGAAACTCTCAGATATCCCACGCGGCAATTTTTTCACTGATATGTCTCCTAAAGCAAGGGACATAAAGGAAGGAATAAACAAGTGAGACCTCAGCAAAATAAGGAGCTTCTGCACGGCAAAAGAAAATATCAGCAAAATGAAAAGGGAGCCAACCCTATGGGAAAAGATATTCGCTAATGATACATCAGATAGTGGTTTGATCTCCAAGATGTATAAAGAACTCACTCAACTCCACTCCAAGAAGACAAATGATCCAATCAAAAAATGGGCAAAGGGCCTGGGCAGACGGTTTTCCAAGGAGGAGATACAGAGGTCCCAGAGATATTTGAAAGGATGCTCAGCATCACTAGCCATCAGAGAAATGCAGATCAAAACCACCATGAGGTACCACCTCACACCGGTCAGAATGGCCATCATAAACAGATCTACAAACAACAGGTGCTGGTGAGGCTGTGGAGAAAAGGGAACCCGGGTACACTGCTGGCGGGAATGCAGACTAGTGCAGCCATTGTGGAAATTAGTGTGGAATTTCCTCAAAAAGATGAAAATGGAACTACCTTTTGATCCAGTGTTTCCCCTCCTTGAACTCTACCCTAAGAATACCAGAACGCCAATTCAATAGAACCTATGCACCCCAATGTTAATAGCAGCACAATTTACAATAGCCAAGTGTTGGAAGCAGCCTAAATGCCCATCAGTAGATGATTGATTAAAAAAATTTTGGTACATTTACACAATGGAATACTACGCAGCAGAAATTAAAAAAGAACTACTATACTCTGCGACAGCATGGACGGAACTGGAGTGCATTATGCTAAGCGAAATAAGCCAGGGAGTGAAAGACAAATACGGTGTGATCTCTCCTATAAGTGGAACCTAACCAACAATACAAAGATGCAAGGAAAATAAGACCAGCAACACCAAAAGGAAATGAAATAAACAGAGACAAGAGGGAAGGAGGGAGGGGGGGTGGGGAAAAGGAAGAGAAGGGTCAAGTCAAGGAACATATAGCAAGGACTCATGGACAAAACCAAAGGGGAAGAGCTGAGGGAGGGCAGGATGGAGGTGGCAAGGGAAAGTGGTGGGAGGTGGGCAGAGACAAATGTATTTGAAAAAAATAAATTAAAATAAATCTAACATTTATTAAGAAAATAATAAAAAAAATAAATCCACATGCTGCGGGGTCAGATTTCTTTACTGAGGACAATTCCTGTCCTCTATATAACATCTGACTGAAGGGTGTCGTAACTCAAACAACCCTCAAACAGCCACTCCTACTATGTAACAGAATGCTAGGTACTCACAACCTTTCTGAGAGACTCAGTTGTCTCAAACTTAAAGCGAGGATTCCAGTGGCAACCTTGTCCACCACACAGGCTGTCATGAGGATCCAAGGATATAATTTATGCTGTTTATCAGCAAGGGGTGTGGCTATGTGAGAGCCACACCAACTAGTACTCTATAGTTTCTTCAAGGAAAAGTAGGCTGTATAACAACTGGGACCTTCCAAAGCTTGAAAGAGCAATTTGGAACTATGTAGAAGGCCAGACATCTCAGGAACTATAATACAACATAAGTTTTTAGAATCTTCTAAAGGCACATGGCTACAGCACCACCTTACTGGCCAAAGAAAATCAGGTTGTTAGCTCCTGTTTGGACCAGTTCTGTGCTAGATGCCAGAGGTGACTGCTTAGTTTAGACTGTATCACTTGGGGTTATCAGGTATCAGCACTTTCTGGTACTTCAGGTGAGGCCAATGCTACTACCAATATTAATAGGGCCAGAGCAAGAAAAGCTAGGACTTTCAGCTACTATGAGTGGAGCTAGTCCTCTACTGCCACAAGGGCTCTTGCAGATGATAGAAATTAGTTTCCTAAGTTTATATCTTACACATATCACAAGGAGGTTGTAGCCACAAAATTTCCACTATTCAGGCCACTTTCTCCATCCTCACATTAATAACCTGAGAGATCCATTTTCTGTTAAAAGTAAACAGTGACCTTAATGGTGGGACCACAAGATCTCGACCTCTGGGTCGTGCTCATAACCCAGTATTTCTTAGTATTCCAACAGCTTAAACTAATAGCTAAATTCATACTCATTTAGTGGTAAGCACATTGATAACAACTAAAAAGTAAATCTGACATCAAGCAAAGGGAAATAAACTTTAAAATGTCAACAGAAACTCGAAAAGATCTGTCTGCTCTCACACTTCTCTTCTTCCCTGTTATTTCCCAGAATTCCATTCTAGTTGGTATAGGCCTTTACTTGATCATGGCCATGTGTAGTAGGCAGACTCTAAGAAAGCCTCCAATGATCTTTACCTTCTAGTGTTCATGCCCTTGTGTAATACTCTCCACTTGACTGTGGGCTGGACTTAATGACTTGCTTCTAATGAACAGAACACCAAAGAAATAATGAGATGTCACACCCAAAATTAGATTACAAGTTTGTGACTTCCATTTTGAACACCTTTTCACATGCTCTTGTTCACTCTGACGGAAGCCACCTCTATGTTTTTAGCTATCCTGTGGAGAGGCCTACATGGCAAGGACTGTGGGAGACCTCCAGACAACAGCCAGAATGGACTGAATCCTGCCAACAAATATATGAAGGCTTGAAAATGGTTCTTCCCTCAGTTAAGCCTTAAGATGAGATGTCAGCCTCAATTGACACCTTACCTCTGCCTTGTGAAACCCTGAAACAGAGGACCCAGCTAAATCATGCCTGGATTCTCAACCCACATGAGCTGTGAGCTAATGACTATTTGTTATTTTAAGAGCTTGTGTTTTTTGGACCTGGCCAGTGTGGCTCAGTTGGTAGGAGTGTTATCTTGTGGGCCTAAGAGTTGTGGGTTCAACTCCAAGTCAGGGCACATGCCTGGGTTGTGAGTTTGATCTCCAGTCAGTGCATGCAAGAGGCATCTGATTGATGTTTCTCTCTCACACCCATGTTTTCCTCCCTTTTTCTTTCTCTCCCCCACCCCGCCATTTCCCTCTCTCTAACATCAATAAATATGTCCTCCGGTGAGGATAAAAAAATAAAATCCTGTGTTTTGGGGTAATTTTTTACATAGCAATACATAAGTGCACCATGCCTCAAGAACCTGGCAGCCAAACAAAGCATCACAGTGGGGAACATCATTCTTCTGCTCAGTTTATACAATTACCTTGATATACCATAAATTCTTACTGACCTTTGAGTGTCTATTTGCAAATCCCATCTCAGAACCTAGACTCTCAGCTCACCCAGTGATGCTTGCTGTATACCAGACACACTAAAACTGTGTCTGACCTGGACCAAGCCAAGATTATGGCTACAATGAAGTTGGTTACCACAGCTTTTTTCATTACCAGGCTAGGTAGATGAAAGTGACTTTCATAGAATATCTTTCATAATTCATTTGTTCAGCTAACATACACTGAGTCCTTGACATTAAGGAATACATAGTCAAGGGAGCAAGGCAGACATAGAGCACATAGCTACAATAAAATGAGGTGAGGACGATCAAGTGAACAACTGGGATATAAGCTGGAAAGATTTGAGTGCCAAAGAGAGGAGTATGATGTAAGAGAGGAGCAATAAATAGCTGTGGAGATCAGGGATAATGCCATGAAAAAGATGTTATGTGAGCTAGTAACTAAAGGATAAGGCTTATGACAAGTAGAAAACAGGAGCAATGGCATACCAAATAATAAATAGCTTGAACAATGACTCAGAGGCACAAGATAGTTTGGGAATGCCCATAGTCTAGTGTGAGTAGAACTTGTGGACTCTAAAGGGGTTAAAAGAAATAAAACCAGGTTCCTGAGTTGGTTCCAGCCATGAAGGACTTTGACTGCTAGACTATGGGATTAAACTTCATGCTTTAGGCAGGGTCAGAATTGCAGGAGGCATATCACTCAAGGGGCTGGGTTTGTAGGTTGACAGGTGTAGGCAGAAACCTTGAATTCTGTGCATTTCAAATGGTAGATAATGAAGGCTAACTGGGGGCAGTACTGACACATGAATGATAGCAGTGGAAAAAAAAGAGGGAACGAGGGAAAAATGAGAAAAACAGTCTTAGAGCAATAGTTGGTAACTCTAAATTTAAGTGCTTAAAAATCATTATCAGAAGAAATGAGCCATTCCATTGTGATATATGAAGTTGCTTTATTATTTTTATTGAATGAAAGACTGGAAGATGTAATCAGGATTCTGAAGGTCCTCTTCTGGTAGTGAGGAAACAAGTTACCTCTCCCATCTTCCTTTTCAAATCAATGTTGGTTAAAATATCTCCCCCTACACCAAACTTGTGTTACAGATGTACACAGCCCCCAAAAGCAAGTATTTAAAAGGCTTAATGGATCAGTTCCCTGGGTTAGGAGATACTATATCAAAGCTCAGTACTCACCTTGTCCAGGATAGAGATAGGACCAAGGTTGTTGACAGAGAACTCAACAGTGACCACAGTGGGCTTCTCTGTAAAGGATGCAGAAGTGGCAGATGTAAGTGTTCAACAGGGGCATAGGGCAGGGAAGGGTATGGTCAGAGGGGAGAAAAAGGGAGATGGATAAGGGTTAGATTATATGGTTTCAACAACCAATCTTATTTCTTTCTTTGTTCTTTCATGGCAAGAGCCATTTCATAGACTTATGTTAAGAGCCAGACATTCTTCAGAGGTCATATCAACTAGTCCAGCCACCTCATTTTATAGCTGGAAAAAGTGGGGCTGAGAGAAGGAAAAAGTCTATATCAAGGTCAACAGCATTGCTGAGACTATAGTCTACCTCTTTTACTTGACAGGTGAACAACATATATTCCTGCCCACATCATGGCACTCTCACCTATACCCTAGGCTAACTCTCCATTCTTATGCCCTTAAACACCCTACCTTCTCGGTGGGAAGAACTATGTTCTGTTACTCACTGCCAATACTAGGGTGCAGTTTGTAATCATACTTATTCAGGATACTGTCCAGGATTTGAGTGGCTGCTGGCAGTTTTCCAAGTCTGTGATGGGCATCAACAGTGGTGGGCTTTATTTCTTCAGGGGGGAGCTTCTTTTCGGGACCCTGGGGTTTGGGGCCAGAAACATCATCATGATGGACAGAAGGTCCCTTTTCAGATTCAACATGAGGTCCTTCAATCCTAGAACATAAAAACAAAAAAATGAAGCTCTGTCTTCCACTGTGTAGGGGCCTCAGTTGGTGCCTCTTGAGACAGAAGCAAACCAAAATAATCTGCAACCCAATGCACAAAGGGTGACTAGCAACAGTAAATTATGAGCCAGTAACAAATTATACTTATTTATTTCTTCTAAATCTTGCTGTTCTTTGGGAAGTTTCTATGCTTTCCCTTTTTTATGATTTTTTTAATTTAAAAAAATCAATAACAAAACTGAGCCCAATATTTTAAAATATTTTTTTCTGTAAAATGATGAAGGCATCAATGTATGAGTTCTGGCTAATCAACTTCAGTTATTAGGCATGGTATTTAATCTGCCTGACTAGCATCACAGGGGAGCAAAGGGGCTGGCACAGGGCCAGGACTGCTGAGGAATGTTCAAGAAAGCTAGAGAAGTCTCTCCCAGAGAGAGCTGGAACACTGTGGGAATATTCTGCATTTCTTTGCTTTTGTGATGCTCACTGCATTGGAGTTGGAGGCTGGGGGTTGGGGGAGAGCTCTAAGTGCAAAGAAAATGCAAGAGTCCTTCACCCAGAGACTGTTGTCCAGGAAATAGATGGTCAACAGAAATCCAACCTGAGAGCCACAGCCATGCACCACAGCCGAAGAAAGAAAAGAAGAAGAAGGAGAAGGAGAAGAAGAATAAGAAGGAGGAGGAGGAGGAGGAAGAGGAGGAGGGGGGGAGGAGGAGGAGGAGGGGGAGGGGGAGGAGGAGGAGGAGGAGGAGGAGGAAGAAGAAGAAGAAGAAGAAGAAAATGAAGAAGAAGAAGAAGAAGGAGAAGGAGAAGAAGAATAAGAAGGAGGAGGAGGAGGAGGAAGAGGAGGAGGAGGTGGAGGAAGAGGAGGAGGGGGAGGAAGAGGAGGAATAAGAAGAAGAAGGAGGAGGAGAAGGAGGAGGAGGAGAAGGAGAAGAAGAAGGAAGAAGAAGAAGAAGAAGAAGAAGAAGAAGAAGAAGAAGAAGAAGAAGAAGAAGAATTAAATTAAGTAAAACAAAAATTTTAGAAGCTACCTGCCAATGTATTTAGTAATGGTTGTGCTACCTTTGCTGTTAGGCACTGGGGAAGTGCGTGTCAGGGGGCTTCTGAGGTTCTTGTTGTGTTCTAGTTTCTAATGTGGGTGCCTTGATATCAGTGCAGTAATTTTCTGACAATTCATCAGCTGTACAGTTATAATTTGAGCACTTTTATGAATATATGTTCTGATGCAATAAGAAGTATTTTGAAAAATAAAAATGTTAATATATGGACCTTATTCAGACACTAATTTTAAAAGGCAGACTAAAAAACAAAACAGAACAAAACAAAAAATATTTATGACACAATAGGAGAGTTCTGGACACTGACTAGATAGTTTTTTCGGCATGAGGGAATTAATCTCAAATTTATTTTTGGTGTTAATAGTGGTATTTTATTATTGTTTTGAAGTACTTATGACTAGAAATACATGCTATAATAATTACACATAAAATTAATGTTTGAGATATGTTTTAAAATAATTTAATATGGAAATGGAGAATGTGCTGGGTACAGAGAAAACAAGAGTGGCCATGAGTTGATAATTAATGAGGCTGTTGATAGGTACAAGGAGATTCACTATATTGTTCCTTTTACTTTTATATATCTTAATTTTTTTTAAAAAAGCAACTAAAAAACTGCTCTGTGATACTGGAAGGCAGGAGAGTGGTTTCATTTGGGGAAGAGTGGATTGGGAGGGGGCATGTGGTGAGGTTTGTAGGAGGTAGGGATGAAAGTGACTAGAATGTCCTATTCCCTGCTCTAGTAGGGGTTACATGGGAATGTTTACTTTGTGAAAATCCACTGAGCTGTTCACTCAAAGTTCTATACTTTTATATTTGTATATTACACATACAAAATGATTATTTTTCATAAAGCCACCTGAAAACTAGTTTCCTAAAATAAGAGGTTCTCAGGGCAGGAGATATGGACATGGCCTCTGTACTACAGACCAAGAGACTGCGAACTGGAGCAGCAAAATGCATTTTCCTGTACTATTTCAAGCTTTTGGAATGCTTAACTGACATAGAGATGTGCTAAATCTATGCCATTTCTCATGTCCAAAGAGGCTAATTCCCATTGTGGGCAAGGAGAGAACTGGGTTTAGGAAAAGCAGTTTCCATTTCCAAATACTACATGCAGAGATGTTGTCTTTCCCTGAAGCTTTCCCCCCAGTCCCCTGAATAGATCATACCAACCACTTTCGGAAAGGAGGAGGGAGATGAGGGGCCTGAGACCCCCGGAAAATGAGTGACATGGCTGGAAGTATGGAACACCCAGGACTGGCAATGCCAGACAAGACATCCAAGAAACTGCAGCAGCCCCTCCCAGATGTCTTAAGCCAAATACAAAAATCCTGAGGTTCAAGAGGCAAATAAGTAAAAGCCTGGGATCACCCTCCTCCTAGACTAGTCTGCAATGAAAAATAGTATCAGAGGGTCTTGAGGTTTCCATAACCCTACAATTAGCTTTTTTCAGTAAAAAGCAAACAACAAAAACACTCTCATCCTGGTATCCTTGGGATTAAGGAGTTGCTACAATGCATACTTTCCTTCAGCCAGCCAGTAAGCCCACTTTCTGGGCAAGAAATAACAAAAGCTTGAAAAACACTCATGCAGTGGACTAGTGGGATCATTCCATGGGAGCTTTTCAGGCACCCACATCCCCCCTTTAGATGTGATGCTCTAAAATGAAGTTGAATTTCTGCACCCCTTGGCTGGGAGGATAGAAGGACCACTGGATTGTTGTTTTTTCAAATCAGCTCCCTTTTCCACCTTACAGATGGAGAAACTGAGGCACAGATGGGGGAAGGGCTATGCCCAAAGTCACAATTGATTCGAGGCTGAACCTGGACCAGAGCAAGTATTCCTAGTTTGATGTGGCCCCTGTTAGCACAACCCACTACCCCCTCCTCAGATTTTGGTTGACATCATAGGTTGTTATGTTGACAGTGTTTGAACATCAGTTACTGCAGCACTTCCTCCTGGCTAGGAAAGCAGTTTCCATCTCAACAGCCCATCTTCTTTGTTTCCCCCTCTGCTCCCCCTCTCTGCTTCTGCCCCCTTTCCAAACCTCTTTTATCCTAGCCAGTTATCATGTTAGCTCTCGCAACCAGTCTATTTCACATTTAGATAGATGTGGATAACTAGAAATTCTTAGCATTAATTCAAAAATATTTACTAAGCTTCTGCTGAAGCGATCCCCCTCTCCAAGTTAGGGCACCAGCAAGCCAGCAGGGAGCCATACAGCCCCTCCCTTGAGGAACTAAATCATTCTAAGGTGGTGAGAGAAGCCATCTTCCCTCACCCCAACACAGATAAGCCCCACACAAGCCCAGTGCCATGGAGACTTCGAGAATGCTCCACAGATGAGGAAGCTAGGAACACTCGACAGTTTGCAGTCAGTGGGAAACCCTCTCAAAAATTTGAAGCAGTCATCTTCCACCCTAAAAAAATCCAGAAATGCAGAGAACAACATTCTTAGCAAGGTCCCAGGGCCAGAAGAAGGTGCAAGGGAAGCTGGCTGTTCAAGGGAAACTTGCCGATAGCCTTTGGAAAAGTGAGGAGAGACTGAAATCCAGGACCCAAACCGCAGAGCATAACATTCCAGGCCTCTGGCTCCAGGCGGCTAAAGACCAGCAGGGTGCTTTGAGGGGCGGTTGAGGTGGGGTGAAAGAATTTTGAGGAACAAAGCAGGAGGCTGGCAGTGCAGGAGATGAGGTGGATGGCTTGGGTGGGAATCAAACCAGGGCTTGTGCCTGGGCCTGGCACCGGCACCAAGAGGAATTGAGGGAAGGGAAGCAAGCAAAGTGAGAGTTGATACTCTGTTGGAGATCAAGAAAAAAAAACTGAAGAAGGTAGACTAGTCACTCAAATACTTTAAGCACAGTTTTGCTCCCACAGCCCGCGCGCCTTTCCCAAAACCACCCCAACAACAGCAGCCCCAATGCTCAGAAGCACGAGCCTGCCCTGGCCGATTGCCCTGTGGGCCACTCTCCTCTTCCCACGGGAGACTCAGAGAGAGCGAGAGAGTGTGTGTGCTGGCTCTTGGCCGCCGCACGGGTTTGGAGAGGGGGGACTCCGGTGATAGGAGCTGCCAGGGGACATGCGCCCCCTTCCTGGGCGCCCTATCAGTGGTTCAGCGCGCCCGTCCTAGAGAAAGCGGTGTGAAGACTGGCCGCACAAAGGCTGAGGGTAAGGTGGGCTCGAGGATCCCGGGAGGTGGCTTCACTCCGGGGAGATGGCACAACCGGCTCCTGGGTTCCAGGATGGAGACTCACCTAGACAGGAGGATTATAGACATGCCCAGGAGTATGAGGAGAACTTTGGTCAACATCGTGGCAAGGACCTGCGCGACCACCTGTGCAATTGTCTGTGCGCACGGTCTAGCCGCACCAAACTTGATGTGCAGGGTTTTGTCGGGCTCCAACTTTCACTCCTCCCACTCGCCCCGCCCTGCGCTCCCCACCCTGACCCCGCCTCCTGAGCCTGTTGGAAATCTCCGATGCTGTGTTTGCTACTGCAGCTGAGTGGATGGGGGAGGTCGGCGAGGGCCACACGAGAAGGAGGAAATAGAGGGGGAGGGAGTCCCGTCGCCAAGGTACCCGCTTCCCTTGGCCGCTACCACTGTGACGCTGTCAGACAACCAGGGGTGGGGGACGGGAGAGGAAGGAGGAGGAGGGGAGCCAGCGGTGCACGGGAGCCTAGCGGGAGAACAGCGGTCCAAGGCTTTGGCTGCGAGGGCAGCCGAAGACTGGCCCCAGCAGGAACAAGATGAGTGCGCTGGATGGGCTGCTTCTTCTTCTATGACCCCCTTCAGCCCATCGACACGCCTCCAGCCATTGGCTCCCCACCACCACCTGTTGCACCCCATCGCTTCCCCAAGTCACTTGGCCTCTGAGATTTTTCCCCACCTTCACTCCACACCTTCCAATCCTTCAGAGCACATATCTTGGCATCAGAAAGAAACTGGGTAACTTAGCACCTTCCTTGGCACAGGAGAAGAAGAGAGACTTTGGGGTCCCTAGCAAGCTCTGATATGAGATACTTACACAGGCCAGTTTCCCAGGTATTTGGGGGCAGGAAAGGACCTGTCACAGCCAGGCTGAGGCAGTCACTGGCGGACTTGGACCGACACACTAACACAGTTGGCTCCTGGTTCAACCTCGGGGCCTGCCTGTGAGATGGACCACATGGGGTGGAAGGACCTTGGAAATCACCTCTGCAAAGTCAGCTGGTCAAATCTTTCTGGAGAATTGGCTCTCAGTGATGCCAGAAGAAGTGAGAAAGTACTGGGGATGGGGATGGGGGTCAGTGTTCCCATTCACAGGGGACATCTCAAGAGTCTCAAATATCCTTGGACTTCATCTTTCTTGCCTAGACCCTAGTGATTCACCTCAGAGAGGGAAGAATTGCAGAGATTTGCATATGAAGCTGATGCTGAACACTAACAGCATGCTCACCTGTTGCTCCAGAAGAGGCTGTGTGAATCCCAGCTCATCTGGTGACTCTTTGGAGAGGCTTTGCTGTACCACGCTAGTCTAATACACCCTTTTAATCACCCAACCCCATCTCATCACTCTGCTTTGTCATCTTCACAACACTGCTCAATAACTAATAATTTTCTTGGACAATTCTTTGTGAGTTTGCTTATGGTGGGTTCCCCCTACTGGAGTAAGCTCAATGACAAAAACAAAGCAAAACAAAACAAAAATGTGTCTGTTTGGTTTTTCACCACATCTCTGAAACTTAGATGAGTTATGGGCACACAGTAGACACTCAACAAATATTTGGTACTAGCCTTTGTGCAGCTGTGTGTCCTAGTGCCACTAAGTTCACTGAGATCTGGGCTCCCTTCAGACTCTATGTAAGAGAGAAGACTTCAGGACACATTCAGCTCTCCTGTGTGTATGCTTCCTAACCCTGTGACAGGGCCAGCTTCATGGACATAAGAACTGTGCAATCCCACAGAGTCCTGCACACAGAAGAACTACATGCTTTGTTTAATGCTTAGCTGTTGCCCTTTTGAAATTCTTAATAATTTTTGAAGAAGTGGCCTTGCATTTTCATTTTTTCCCTAAGCCATGCAGATTACGTAGGCATTCTTGCCCTGGGGATATATCCTTCAGATCAGGAAACAGACAAACATTACTGAGCCTCCAGACAGAGAAAGCTGTCTGGCCATCTGCCTGCCTTTCTGTCCAGCATCAGACTGCTGTGGAGACGGGCAATTCTGCATTTATTGTAGCCAGCCTTGTACTTGAAGTATCTTATATGCATGTCCCTTCCTCCAGTGACACTGGAACTCCAGGAGATGGAGGTTTGCCTGATGTACTTGTCTTCCGCTGGTTGAGCGCAGTGCTCTGATGACTGGTATTAGTTACATTTGCTGAATTAGCAACTAAATTCCAGGCAGCTAAGAAGCAAGTGGTTACAGATTCCTAATTGGAGGAGGCAGCCAGGGCACTTTTCTTTAAGGGATTTGATTATTCAGACTTTGTGGTTCTCCAAGTATGGTTGGCTAAAAAGTCTGTATTTAATTTTTTTTACTGTTTTCTAAATTAATTAATTTATTTTTTCAAATACATTTGTCTCTGCCTACCCCCCACCACTTTCCCTTGCCCCCTCCCTCAATCCTTCACCACTTTGGCTTTGTCCATGAGTCCTTGCTATATGTTCCGTGATTTTCCCCTTCCATTCATTTCCCCCCGGCCCCCCTTCCCTCTTGTCTCTGTTGGTTTCTTTTCCTTTCAGTGTTGCTGGTCTTATTTTCCTTGAATCTTTGTATTATTGGTTAGGTTACACTTATAGGTGAGATCATACGGTATTTGTCTTTTGCCCCCTGGTTTATTTGACTTAGCATAATGCTCTCCAGTTCCATGCATGCTGTTACGAGGTGTAGTAGTTCTTTTTTTCTTTCTCCTGCATAGTATTCCATTGTGTAAATGTACCAAAATTTTTTTGATCCAGTCATCTACTGGTTGGCATTTAGGTTGCTTCCAACACTTGGCTATTGTAAATTGTGCTGCTATGAACATTGGGATGCATAGGTTCTTTTGAATTGGCGTTTTGGGATTCTTAGGGTATAGTCCCAACAGGGGAATCACTGGATCAAAAGGCAGTTCCATTTTCAGCTTTTTGAGGAAATTCCACACTGCTTTCCACAATGGCTGCCCCAGTCTGCATTCCTACGAACAGTGTACCCGGGTTCCCTTTTCTCCACAGCCTCGCCAGCACCTGTTGTTTGTGGATCTGTTTATGATGGCCATTCTGACCGGTGTGAGGTGGTACCTCATGGTGGTTTTGATATGCATTTCTCTGATGGCTAGTGATGCTGAGCATCCTTTCAAATATCTCTGAGACCTCTGTATCTCCTCCTTGGAAAACCGTCTGCCCAGGCCCTTTGCCCATTTTTTGATTGGATCGTTTGTCTTCTTGGAGTGGAGTCGAGTGAGTTCTTTATATATCTTGGAGATCAAACCTCTATCTGATGTATCATTAGCGAATATCATTTCCTATAGGGTTGGCTCCCTTTACATTTTGCTGATATTTTCTTTTGCCGTGCAGAAGCTTCCTATTTGGATGAGGTCCCACTTGTTTATTCTCTCATTTATGTCCCTTGCTTTAGCAGACATATCAGTGAAAAAATTGCTGCGTGGGATATCTGAGAGTTTCCTGCCAATGTTCTCCTCTAGGACTTTTATGGTGTTGCTACTTATGCTTAAGTCTTTTATCCATCTTGAGTTTATTTTTATGTATGGTGTCAGCTGATGATCCAATTTCAATTTTTTGCATGTAGCTGTCCACCTCTCCCAACACCATATGTTGAAGAGGCTATTATTGCTACATTTTATGCTTCTGCCCCCTTGGTCAAATATTAGATGTCCATGAAGACCTGGGCTTATTTCTGTGCTTTCTATTCTGTTCCACTGGTCTATGGATCTGTTCTTGTGCCAATACCAGATTGTTTTGAGTATAGTGGCTTTGTAGGAGAGTTTGATGTCTGGTATTGTGATCCCTCCTACTTTGTGTTTCTTTCTCAAAATTGCTGTGGCTATTCGGGGACGTTTATGGTTCCATATAAATTTTTGAAATGTCTGTTCTATTTCTGTGAAATATGTCATTGGTATCTTAATAAGGATAGCGCTGAATATATAAATTGCTTTGGGTAGTATGAACATTGTGATGATATTCATTCTTCCAGTCCTTGAGCACGGTATATGCTTCCATTTATTTGTGTCTTCCTTAATTCCTTTCTTCAATGTTGTATACTTTTTTGCGTACAGTTCTTTTACCTCTTTGGTTAAATTTATTCCTAGGTACTTTATTTTTATTCTTGGTATATCGAATGGTATTTTTTCTGATTTCTTCTTCTATTTCATTGCTGGTGTACAAAAATGCCTTTGATTTCTGAATGTTGACTTTGTATCCTGCTGTTTTGCCAAATTCACTTATTAGGTTGAGGAGTTTTTTGGTAGAGTCTATAGGGTTCTCTATGTACAATATCATGTCATTAGCAAACAATGATAGCTTTACTTCCTGCTTTGCTATTTGGATGCCTTTTATCTGTTTTTCTTGTCTGACTGCTATGGCAAGAACTTCCAATACGATGTTGAAAAGACGTGGTTAAAGCGGACATCCTTGTCGTTTTCCCGATCTTAGTGGGAAAGCTTTTAATTTTTGCCCATTGATTATGATGTTGGCTGTAGATTTTTCATATATGGCCTTCATTACCTTGAGGAATGCCCCATTTATTCCTATTTTGCTGAGTGTTTTGATCATAAATGGGTGCTGTACCTTATCAAATGCTTTTTCTCCATCTATCGAGATGATCGTGTCGTTTTTGTCTTCTCCTTTATTTATGTGATGTATTACATTTATTGGCTTGCGTATATTGAACCATCCCTGCATCCCTGGGATGAATCCCCCTTGATCGCGGTGGATAATCTTTTTAATGTATTGCTGGAAGTGCTTTGCCAATATTTTGTTGAGGATTTTAGCATCTATGTACATCAGCAAAATTCACCTGTAGTTTTCTTTCTTTTTAGGGTCTTTATATCTTTTTGGGATTAGGGTGATTCTGGCCTCCTAAAAAGAGTCTGGGAGTCCTCTCTCCTCTTGGATTTTCTGGGATAGTCTGAGAAGGACAGGAGTTAGCTCTTCCTTAAATGTTCTGTAAAATTCTCCTGTGAAACCGTCTGGCCCTGTGCTTTTGTGTGCCGGAAGTTTCTTGATGACTGCTTCAATTTCCCCAGCTGTTATCGGTCTGTTCAAGCTTTCTATTTCTTCCTCATTCAGTGTTGGAAGATTATAGTTTTCTAAAAATTTGTCCATTTC